CTGAGAATCTAGAGTCGATCACCAAGCTGACCCAAGCCGGATCCCCGCGAACAGGATGCCGGGGCCCCAGTCAGGAAAGACCTTTTCCAACCCACCAAATCTCACGGCCATACCCGCGAAGGGTCCGATCTCGATGAGAAGTAATCACCGTCCCCAAGTCACGCCGTGGGCGACAAAAGAAGGCCAAGGCTCTCAGAGTCCTCCCATTTGAAAAAGCCTCCGAAAGAGTATTCTACTCCCCTGAAGGCACAGGGGCTACTGTCGGGGACCAATACTAGGGTACCCGATGAGGAGGGGCTAATGGTCATCAAACGTTAATTCATCTAGGCGGTCAGGGGCACGACTACAGCTTCAACCGACCCCAGGTACACAGGCTCCGCCACACCCGACCTCTGGCCACGGGCTCCACCTCGCCCGACCCCAAGGTCGTGCGATCCGCCTTGCCCAACCTCTGGGGGGCAGGCTCTGCCTCGCTCAACCTCTGGCCGCGAGCTCCTCCTCACCCGACCTCGGAGGGCTGGCTCCACCTCGCCCGACCCCAAGGTCGTGCGATCCGCCTCGCCCGACCTCTAGGGGGCGGACTCTGCCTTGCCCAACCTCGGAGGGCTGGCTCCACCTCGACCGACGTCTGAGGGCTAGCTCCGCCTCGCCCAACCTAGTTAATATGGTGGGATTAGGCCTCACAACAGAAAGCGTGACAACTTTTTCAACTAATATGCAGAATTAGGAGCTTTCTTGCCTTAGGTGCTTACGGATTTTTTTTGTTTCTTGGTTTTTACCCATAAATAATGACATAAGCCCCGACAGATAGATTATAGCCCTGCTACTTTGTCACGCCCTAGAAAACTCACCAAAACTCCAATTTAATGCGTCAATGTTAACTTGGAGCTGTTTAATCATCTAAATCTAGCCTCCACTGCACATATAGAAGTGATCTACTCTACAAACATTTTTAAATGCCGGTATTTGCATATTATGTGCCGAGGTACAAGAACGTGCCAATCACTTGTGTCCACAAAGATCAAATAGCGAGTTAGGTGTAAGGCTTATGTCAGAAGAATCTACTGAGTGTTACATTGAGATCCTTCCAAATGTCCTTGGTTCTCTCATCCTCGTCTCCCCTCTTTCTTGTGTAGACCTTTCCCCTTGCTGCATGTGCTCTTAGATATCACATTCTAGCCTTTGTGAAAGTAGAGAGGCAAACAAATCGATGGGAGTCTTAATTAGTCTGCTAGGTTGGTCTTTTCTTCTCATTGTTAAAATAGTGCCCTATAGCTTTTTTTCATATAGGTCTACAGCTACGATATTGCCTACTGTTTCGCTATTGCCGCTAATAACACTCTGGCTTCCACTATTTGGTTTAGCCATAAAATATTTTTGGCACTACGAATGCTAACCGAGGCAAATATTTCTAGAGGACTACAATATATGCTATTTACTTAACAAAATGTGATTGTAGCCGTGAGGATGTTGATTAATTAATTTAGTGAATGTTATGTAATAGACATGGAGACATGTTACTCTAGAACCTGTACATGTATTTGAGTATTTGTGTTTATGAAATTTTCTTTAGTTAAATGTTTGTATGGATGTATTGTATTTCACATTTTCACATTGTTTACTGTGAACAGCTAAATGAAATAGCTTCCTTTGTGTCTGCTATATATTTTTATATTTTCTGGAGAAGGCCAGCGTTAAATGCATGCTTTATCCTGCTATTATTTAAAACATTATAATCGTTTCTTCTTATCTTAACATTTATGGAATTCCAAATCAGACCGATCAAAATGGCTAACAGCAACATGGAGCCAATCCAGGCAGGTAGGGTAGAGAGGGTCTTCATCAAGAGGAGTACTATATAATATGCTCCCTATGGCTCACCAACAGCATAACAAGAGCATCAACACAAACTTGCAGCCTTACCCAAATACCGCAGACTGAGCTGAACACAGATCTATGTACTTCCCAACACAAATATATATGATGAGCTCCAACACATCATCAAGCATGGCACTAGCACCTAGCCATGCACATGCCGTCGCTCCGTTAACAGTACTTTGCACCTTTCTTGCCCTAGCTTTATTATTTCTCTACCGAACCAAAGCAACGTCATCCAAGAAAACACAGCTGCACCAGCTGCCGCCAGGGCCGGCTGGGTTGCCTATCATCGGCAGCCTGCACTGTGTGGTGTCAAAGAGGCCGGTGTTCCGATGGATCCATGGCCTTCTCAAGGACATGCACACCAACATCCTATGCCTCCGCCTTGGAGCTGTCCATGTCGTAGTAGTTGCCTGCCCAGAGATAGCCCGTGAGGTTTTCAGAAAGAATGACGCAGTCTTCGCGTCTCGCCCCTAACATCCGCCACTGAATTGTTCAGCTTCGGGTACAAGGGCTCCATCCTGTCGCCGCACGGGGAGCAGTGGAAGAAGATGAGGCGGGTGATCACCTCCGATATCCTCTCCGCGTCGATGGAGCGGCGTGTACAGCGCCAGCGAGCGGAGGAGGCCGACCACCTCATCAGGTTCGTCTACAACCAGTGCAACACCTCAGATAACAGCGCCGTCAATGTGCGTCATGTAGCCCAGCATTTCTGCGGCAACATGATACGGAGGCTCGTGTTCGGCAAGAGACACTTCTCGGTTGCTGCTGGTGCTGCTGGCAATGGCAGCGGCCCTGGTCCTGAGGAGGTGGCGCACGTGGACGCGCTCTTCACACTGGTGAACCACATCTACAGCTTGTCCGTTTCAGATTACATCCCTGCTGCGTGGACGTGGATGATTGCTGGCCTCGATCTCGACGGCCAAAAGAAGGTTGCCAAGAGCGTAATGAAGACTATAAACAGATTGCATGATCCCATCATACAAGAGAGGATCCATGAGTGGGATGGTCTTCGCAAATGCGGTGACAAGAGAGAGGCTAGAGATTTTCTTGACGTGCTAGTTTCTCTTCAGGATTCACAAGGACGACGTTTTTGTCGTTTGACGAAATACAAGCACAGACAGCGGTAAGATATGTTAATATTTACTATGCCGCATTCCCAATAGTATTAACTTTAAATTGCCTTATTTCTAGACAGTAAATTTCTAGGGTTTTGTTTCCTTTTTATAACTAACCATTCATGCATGGTGGTAGAAAATTATGCCGTGTCACTTGTTATTCACTATGTTAATATAACTGTTTCATGTTCAGGAGATAATGTATGCAACTGTCGACAATCCATCAAACGCGGTTGAGTGGGCACTTGCGGAGATGATGAACCAACCGGAGATCATGCACAAAGCAATGGACGAGCTGAACACTGTTGTTGGCAAGGACAGGCTCGTCCAAGAATCTGACATCCCTCACCTCAACTATCTGAAAGCGTGCATACGGGAGGCCTTCCGCTTGCACCCCTACCACGCTTTCAACCCACCCCACGTCGCCATGGAAGACGCCGTCGTTTCTGGCTACTTCATTCCCAAGGGCAGCCATGTCCTTCTGAGCCGGGTGGGTCTTGGCCGGAACTCAGACGTCTGGGATGCTCCTCTCCAATTCCGGCCAGAGCGACACCTGATGATGAACGAGCATGTGGTTCTCACCGAGCTGGACCTTAGGTTCATCTCGTTCAGCGCAGGTAGGAGGGGATGCCCAGGGGTGTCACTTGGCAGCTCCGTTACAATGATGCTCTTCGCAAGGCTTCTGCAAGGGTTCACATGGACCAAGCCTCCTGGCGTTCGTGCACTCAAGCTCAAGGAATCCACTACAAGTCTCACACTAGCTGAGCCACTCTTCTTACAAGCTCAGCCTCGTTTGCCAGTGCATCTTTATGCGTCTGTTTAGTCATCACCGTAGTCTGGAGTCTGATGGAGCGGCTTTATATATTATACTATATTCCTGCACAGTCTGCTTCAGGTCAAGGCAACGCAACTGGCTTTGATTCGTCAGTGGGCACTGTTAAAACGGCACAAAGAAAACAAGGAGCGGATCTACAAAGTTTGTCGTGTGCTAGAAACGGCCGCTGTGCAGTTCTTTACATCTCTTCGGATGCATGGCCGAATAATGGTAGAATTTTGAGTAAAAAAAATATTCAGGCACGAAGATATATTATTTATGTGATCATGCATGCATATATATCCTGTGAAAGTCGGTGAAGTATATATGTTAGTGTCAATGATCTTACACTGCGTGCTTATATAGTTTACTAGCTAGTTTTTGGGTTGTTTCATGGCGTGTGTGGTATTGGTAAACCTGTTTATGGTCGTGTACGGCGTGTACGTTAATGAAATAAATGGGTGAAGATATGCTAGTATTAATAATCTTTGTGTGCACGATCACTTGCTTACGCAGCAGTATTGTACTCTTCCATCTCCATGTCCGTCCGCGAAATACATGTAGAGGTGGATTGAGGGTGGTGCAGCGTAGTCAGATATGTGTATACGCTGTACTAGCAGGTGACACATGGAAGCACGCGCCTGTCCCCCATTGGCCACCAACGCCATGTTCGTTTGGATTTTGTTTGGCTGATAAGTCATGACTAAAACTACTGTTGACTGATTTAGTGTGAGAGAAAAATAATGTTCGTTGGCTGAAAAAAATACGGTCAAACGACCCCAAGCGAACGGGGCGCAACACGCGGTCCTGACGTACGGGGCCACTCTCACTCTCAGTCTCAGGACGATCATCACAAGACGCCCTCCATTAGCCATATATTCATCCATCCATGTGGACCATTGGTTTGCTTGTCTCCAACGAATGCATCCATCCACGGGAGGACCAACCACTTGGATGAAATTTGGACAGCATGCGCATGCGATCTCGTCGGGTACTGAAGTAGCGTCCACGCCATCTGCACTGCACTCCATGCGCGAGCGCCCAAAAGAACTCATCTGCCACCTCATGATCTGCTTTGTGGCCAGACCTTCCTTGTCCGCGTCGCGCCGCATATATTGAATCCCAGCGAGCCATCCCACAAGCACTGTACTGTGCCTGCCGACGAGCATTGCTGCTGCGGCTGCCTCGGCATGGCGGCGCCGGTGGAGGTCGGCGCGCAGGGCACGGTGGGCTCGCTGGTGCTCCAGGAGGTCGAGTACTTCCGGAGGATGGAGGTCGCCGGCGGCCACGGCAAGAAGAGCTGCAGCAAGGTCGTTGCAGCCAGCGGCGGCGGCGGCAGCCCCCGGAGCAACGGCAAGAAGCCCAAGAAGAAGAAGGGTGCCGTGGCAGGCAATGGTGGGTCCTTCTTGCCGAGGATGTGCTCGTCGGCGGAGGTCGCCGAGGGCCCCGGCAGCGGCCGGAGGGAGCGGCCCTCCAGGGTCCGCTACCGGCCTCTGGGCGACGACGGGGACGCTCTGCCTCAGCTGGACTAGCTGATTAGAGGGATGATATGCTGCGTTATTATTCTGTATCAGATTCAGATCCGGAGAAATCTGTGCCAATATTAGGTACAGTAGATGAGAAAATCAGAAAAGTATTTATGTTATGACTGGTTTGACTCGTATCCATATTATGTAGATTGATTTGATTGTCTGTGTTTCAGACTCGTATCTATTTTGTTATCCATTGACAGAACTGTATTGCTTCACAATCCGAGCCAAATTTGGTTCACTTTGAATGTATTGCTCTTGTTCCATTGCATTCTCCACTACAGGGAGGACGGAGGATGCACTGCTTTGTTCCATTAACCAACCCTGCATTTGGATAATGTGATTTCTTGCTTGATTTTTTGAAGAAGCAACGTTGGCTCTCCGTAACCATGAAAATGGTCTCTTGCATCACAAATAGTCAAATACTCGTTATTTCCGGTGAAACTTCTAACCATTAAAAATATTTAGCTCCAAAAAAAACATTAACGCCACACGTAGATTTCGGCTTGATGAAAGATACATTTATCAGATTTTAAAAACACATTCTGAGAATAACTGTACAATATGCATCAAACAACAGACGGTGCCCCGGGTTCCTCCAACAAAGGAATCTCTCGCACTGCGAATTGCTGCATCCACTGAAATTAAGCTGCAGCGCTACACCTGCCTGTTGCTTCAGAATCAGATCTAACAACTTCAGATCAAAAGCATGCTTCTCTTCCACCGAGGTCTTGTTTAGTTTACGTCATATCCTATCGAATGTTTAGACACATACATAGATTATTAAATATAGACTAAAAAATAACTAATTACACAAATTACGACTACTTTACGAGACGAATCTTTTAAGCCTAATTAGGTCATGATTTGACAATGTGATGCTACAGTAATCCATGTGCTAATGATGCATTGTTTTTTTATTAGTATCCGAATATCACATGCGACACCCCCACGTGGCCCCCCAAAACTTTACGCCCTGCAACTAAACAAGGCCTAAATATAAATCTAGCAAAAGAATACAGTTCAACATTCATTTTACTTGGATTTATCATTATAGATAGATGCTGTTTCCCGAAGTGGATGGGTGCCACACAAAATTCAAACAAATATTTCACTACATGTGCAGCCTTCTGAAGTTTTCTCAGTCAACAGGTTACAAACTGAAAATAGAACTTATAGTTATTTCCATAAAAAGCCTATTATTTTTTTCAAGACGCGATACAACAGGCGTATGGCCATCTACATTGCGCAATAGTTGGCATGAAAGGTGTACGGAGTATGGACTGAGTTCTAAATATGAGGTGCATGGACATATGTCCCTGTGCATTATGGAGTGCTTAATACAATAAGGATCTACAAACCAATATGAGGGAGAATACCAGCTACGAAACAGTTCAACCATGATTCATGGTTATAACTCTGAAGAAAGAACGTACTGTCCCATATCGAAGGCAATTAGACACATGTATAACTTAATCTTTCAACATACTTTCCTTTTCCATGTGGTTTTAAAATATTCAAATAAATCATGTTTGCATTCAGTTTTTCTCAACAGAAAATGTGATGTTAACCTACCTCATGCAAGAATTGCTAATCCTGAATGAACTATACTGAACTCACAAGTAACAGGTTCACATGAGATGCGGACCTTGTAACCTACTACTTCATGTCGAATTTGTTTCTTTCCTACTAATTTTGCTACATTCTGCTATATATTCAGCCCTATCAAGAATCAATTCAACAACTGCTGCACCATAGTTTTTAACTACTGACAAGCAGAAAACACAAGAAAAATGCTGTATATCTACATGCGCTACATCACTCGGTAGAGAATTCAAACAGCATCATATGCCTGTACTTCTCACCAGGGTGAAAGACAACTGAGGGAAAATTAGGTTGATTAACAGCATTCGGGAAACCTTGCGTCTCGAGGCAGAGGCCAGCATGCTTTCCATAGACCGCACCTCCTTTGCCCACGATGCCATGAAGAAAATTTCCAGTGTAGAACTGCACTCCAGGTGCATCAGCCCAAATGTCTAGGGCCCTCGAACTAGACGGGTCTACCACTTTTGCCACATGTCGCAGACCTGACCTCACTTCACTGGAGTCAAGCATGTAATTATGATCATAACCACCAGGGACCTGATCAATTCTGCTTCCAATTCTGTCCCCAGTCAGAAAATCAAAGGGAGTGCCACTTACTGGCATGAACTCGCCTGTAGGTATTGAGGTTTGATCTACTGGAGTTATCTGAGAACCCCATATCTGGACCGAATGTGAAAGCACATCTCCTGAGTCATGGCCTGCCAGGTTCCAATAGGTGTGCTGTGCTAAACTGATGGGTGTGGCCTTGTTCAATGGTATGGCTTCCATCTCAAGCTTCAGTGTTGCACTTGGAAGAAGTGAATATCTGACAGTAACAGAAACATCACCTGGGTAACCTGTTTTTCACAGCATTAGTATTCATTGAAATAAGGCATGTATATACAGTTATTTTTCATAGAAGGTAATTGTCACAGTACCTTCCTCTCCATCTCTACTATAATACTTGAAGGTAATTGAGGGCTTGTCCCCTTTGTTACATTCGGCGACTTCCCATACAGTTTTGTCAAACCCTTTAAATCCACCTGAATATGGTATTGCCCCTAGATTAGTTAATGGAACAGAAGCACAAATAATTGAAGTGATGTAGATCTCTTCTTTCTATGTGCAAACATGCATCTGTGATTCTGTATTGGATGTTAGGTGTCCCTAATACAATAGATATACCAAAATAAGAGACTGGATAATAACATACATCTAACTGACTATATAGTTCAGTAGCAGGCACCGAGAAAACAGAGCATGCCGACACCAAGGCTGTTGTGGTCACTGAGTCTCAACTGCAGCAGCGCAACCACTTGCTTTCCCCCAGCCTTCTTTTGGTCAAAAACATCTTGTCCAGCAAGTGTTCAGTATCATGTAAAGGAGGTTCAAACCGTGCAGTTGAGTTGTAACTAGATTGATTCATTTGTACTGTTTGTCTAAAGAAATGGCAATGGCAACCCCGTACCTTACCTCAACTGGCCCTAAGGGTAACTGTTACTCCTTGTGTCCCAACCCCTTAGTGGGTTCAGTTGTCATGTACTGATGTGCATAAGTCGGGGGTAAGGGTATTGTAGCACATGGTGGCTTCCGAGATAAGTCTCCCTGTATACTTTGATTACCTATATCCTATTAGTTATTTGTTTACGATATTTGATGTTTAATGACTGGTTTTGTTCATTAATTAGCTCACTGATTTGGTATTGAGAAATTCTAGAGTGCACTTGTTAAGTCCATGCCTAGATCTATAAAGAGCAGCCAGCAGTTATTTCCATTCAGCAAGGGAAAGGAAGTATTGAGGAAACAGTATTTTGTTCCCCACAATACTATTTGTCTTCGGGTCCACTAAACCAAGTTTAATGCAAGATCATTTCACCCATGAAGCCAGTTTTGAGAGTGGCTTGCTGCTGCAGGCCACCACAAGACCAGGTTTTTCCACCATAGAAGCCAGATCATGCTTAACTCCCTCAGCTCACACAAGCACACATTAATATCAATCTCATCCCAAACTCCTTTTCTCCTGTCCTGACAGTGTGGCTGCTGGTTGTTGGCATCATTGTACCACTTGGGTAGTCCATGACAGTAACTTGCAATATTATCAATGCATAGGTGATAGTCAAAATTAGTGTGTACCTGTCTTATCCTATGAGAGAGCAGCAATGTATTTAATGAGAAATGGGAAATTAACAGTGTGGACGTTGAAAGTTTTATATCATATGACTACAATTAATAGCTTAGCAATAACAAAATATCCCCATTGAAAGCTTTGTACAAACCACACAATGTGGATATTTATTAGCCTTTGTTGTACAATGAATACCATATGCAGTTACATCCCAATTTGTCAAAGTCATTTAGTACCAGGGTTGTTATAAGGCATTTTTCATTATTATTTATATTTGCACGTTTAAATAACTTTTAAATAACAATATAACATTACAGATTTTCCTTACCATGAAGGGTGTTAGGTGGGTTGTTGATACTCAGATTGTACTGCACCCCATTTAGAGTGAACTTTCCATCCTTGATTCTATTTGCAACTCGACCAACAATGCAGCCAAAGTAAGGTGAGGTTCCATTCTGATCAAAGAGACTCTAACTGTTAGCACCAAAGCAATTCTTGATCGCTGAGATATACGTAAATAACGATTTACAAACTGCAGATAAACAACAGCCACAGTTGTGAAGTTAATCCCTGAAGGGAAAAATGTACATTAAAATATAAGGGCAAACCAGAAAAGGAATGCAAACCTAAATTAGGAATAAATCCATTTCACACCCACTATGCTTTCGTGAAAATCCGCATAACCCCTGAACTATAAAACTGGATAACCTACCACCTATGGCTGCTTTTGAAGGTCATTTTGAAGTTTAGGGGGATCCAAAGGAGTTCTGCGGAATAACAATCCCAGCCGACAAGAATCAGTTCTCCAAATAGTTTTCATTCCAGAAACTGTACTTTTCAAAAAAAAAAAGTAAGAGGGCGTACCCAGCACTGAAAACTACCACATTAGGTGGACTCCAGGCCTCTAGGGAAGGGAATTCCTAGGCAACCTTGTGTTTGCTTATTTTGCAAGGAGGCTGATTCGAACCCAGGACCTCGAGGACATAAGTGGAGACAACCATTGTGCCTAGCCCACCCTTGATAAACCTTTTCAACAGAGTACTTGATGAAAAAAGGTACTCCCTCTATTCCATTATAGTTCACTTTGGCCTTGTCCTAACTCTTTGACCAAGTTTTTAGAAAAGAATATTAAAATCTACAAGTTCAAATAAAGGCTCTACCAAGATCTTGGGAAATTTAATGAAACTAATTTGATATTCTAGACGTTGATGTATTTTTCTATAAAATTGGTCAAAGTTAAACAAGTTTGACTTAGAACAAAACTAAAATGATCTATAATTTGGAACAAATAGAGTATTGCTTTCTTAGTAAAGAGAGAACAATATGTTAAAACATGCTCTCTGACCACATCAGTGAAACCTAAAACTGTCAACAAGAGGGTTAGGAGGGCTTCATTTTGTTAAATGCGGTGGTGTGTGGCTGCGTGCACTGGAAGAATAAGTAAAATGGCAGCATGAGATGTTATGGGCAGCCAACTGTGCTCTTTGGGCTGGTTCGGCATTGTAGCAGGAACGTATTGTAGCGCCAGGCCTGTAGCACTGCCTCCCTCAGGTTTAGGGTTAGTTAGAGATAAGATTTGGTAGTATTAGATTGGATCTCTTTCTTACGAGTCAAGTAGAAACTCCATATATAAGGAAAGGAGATGTATCAATTAAAGGCAAGCAAGAAACAATCAATGTAGTCCCCCTCTTGTGTTCAACTGTTCATTCCTCTCATCTTTGACAGTTTGATCTAGACCTCATCTCTAACAAAGCCGACTCCACCCAATCATCTTTCCTGTGGTTTATCCCATCATGGGCACGCCAGCCATGACATGTGGATAGCGGGTGGTCAGCATGCAATTTAAGCGAACTGCTCAAAGAGATGTAATGTATTGCTTCAATTTTGTTATTAATTAGGAGTCGAGGAACACAACACCACACAGTAATCCAGATATCCATAAAATTAAGACTACAACACTTAAAAGTAATATGAGTTAGTTTGCAAATGAAAAAACTGAAGTTACAGCATTTGAAAAGTAAGATAAAAACAAAAAAGGTTAATATTAATGGACAATGCACTTGCAAAGTACTCCCTCGAGTCAAAAATACTTGGCCATTTTGGACATTACGTAGTCTTTGATGTGTACCTTGGACCACTATTTTGTATTTTGATATATTTATAGAATCCAATAAATTTATGAGAATATGTAAGTATTTTTAAGACAATATATACATATATGATTTTTCACATTTCCAAGCAAAATAGTTTTAAACATATTGATAGTCAAAGTTTTGAAAGTTTGACTAACTCTTATCCAAAAGGTAAGCATTTGTAAACCAGACAGAGTAGGTCTAACTTCTAAGGTGGTTCAGTGGTAGAAAAGGATGTCAACCAAACTTTAGAATTCAGCAACCATACTAATTCCTGGATCCTATCATCAAGCAATGAAAAAGCATTTACTTCTATACCAGGTATACTAAATGCTGACTCTTGGCTAGCGGTGCCAGCTGGCCAACATAATGCAGTTTGGCAAAATGTGATTCAAGCTGAAAAAAGGTGAAGTTTGTGGCAGAGGCACACAGCCACAATCTTCCACCTGTTGTTTCTAAAGTAAGTGCTGGAACACCATTTCATGCTGCCATTAGCGTGAAGTTACACTCGTACACAAGAAGGAAAGATTTTAGAAATAGGAAAACATGCAAGACAACTTAACAGTTCACTGAAATAAAACTCATGCTGCAAGCTACAGTAATGAACAATATTGAAACAAATTAAGTGTGGGGCTGAGCAATGTTTTCAAGGCGGTAAGGTGAGGCGACTGACTACCGCCTTACGCTTAAGCGACTAAGGCTTGAGGAGAGGCGACGCCTTAAGAAATTAATTAAAAAATAAAAACAGCAGCTTAGAGCAGTGGACGAAGAAAAAAGGAAAGGAAAAAAAGAAAGGAGCCGAGTAAGAAGTGGGCTCGCCCAGCCCACTAGGCAGCCCATGTGCTCCTTCCCCTCCTAGGTGTGGCTTCATCGAGGTCCCTATCCCGAGTTCCCGACCCCCATCAGCGCCGCCGCTCCCCACTGCTATTCCGCCTCCGCACGACGGCACGACCGCACGAGTGGCTGCTCTGCTTCCCTCCGCTCCTCTCCGGATGCCCTGCTCTGCTTCCCTCTCCTCCTGATGTGCTGCTCTGCTCTGCTCTTCCCTCCGCCCCTCTGCTTCCCCTTCCTCTCTGGTCAGTGCTCTCAGATCGACAGCCGCCGCCGTCTCCCCTTCAAGATCTCCCACGCGCTCCTCTCTCTGCGCTATATTTCTCCCGCGCGTCTCTCTGCGCGCGTGCCAATTTCTCCCGCGCGCCAGCTCTCTCTGCGCACTCCTGTTTGCCGCCTAGAATCGGACCCGTGTATGGCGCCCGCCACGCACGATTTGGCGCGAATCGGACGCCAAAGCGACGATTTCTGGACGCCACGGTCGTAAGGCGGACGCCATATGAATCTAAGGCGAGTCGTCTGCTGTGGCGTCCCATGTGGAGCGCCTTGGCGATTAAGCGATGACAAAGCGACGCCTTGAAAACATTGGGGCTGAGTGTTGAATTTATTTCAATGTTATTTCCCAATTAAATGCTATGAGTTAAAACTATATGTGAAATGTAACAAATGGCACTAATGTTCAGAGTTCAGACCCTAGGAGGTAAAACTTATCAATACCACAATGATGTCAGGCAAAATCATTAAACTGTTATGCAGTATTAGCGCTGTAACTTATAAGCAACACTCAGGCGAAACTAAATCAAATGAGGCATCATATTTTAAGTTTATTTTTACACTTCAACTTCACTTCATACTTTTGAGCGCTCAATGTAGTTTGGCATGGCAGCACAGTTGTTAAAGTCCGTACTGAACCAAACAATGGATGCTCCAAGTTACCAAGAAAAGATGAGAGTAATGCCTTAATGTAAGAGATATTAACGATAGAGCTTACATATACAAGGTTAAAAGCTTTTATTACTGGCAACAATATTTTAGAGATGGCATCATAATACTGTAGTTAATAACAGTATTCAAAGTTTCTATAGACATGAATCAATAAATTTTGCTGCACTTTCGCAGGAAAATAAATTATTTAAAAATTACTGCCTCATCTTCTTCTATATAGTAGTATAATATTACAAAACACACGCCATAATTGAGTAACCAACGAACCAGAAAAAAGAAGGGGCCCTAGCACATACGCAGATACATTCACACACAAGCTACCAATATGCAGCGCTTGCACGCACAAGTTGACTTTCAAAAGTCAGAAACCAATAAAATATCTCCCTTCAGACTCCTAACTCTACTCCCGCAGAGATCTCCGAGAAATGATGCAATGCGCTAATTAATGGTTCCAAATGAAACGCATGCATCAAGAACTCACCAGGTACGGATCCAGCGAGTCGAATCCGAGCACCACATCAGCGAGAACCCCTGGGAGCAAAACGAGCAGAGCATCGTGAACCAAGAAACTCACAGCCGCTCTACAGCACAAGCAAACAGAAGGTGGGTACCAAAGAGAAGCCGCACCGTTCTTGTCCGGGACGAGGAGCGAGGTGACGGCGGCGCCGACATTGGTGAGGCGGACCCGAACGCTCCCGCCGTCTAGATCAAAGAGCTCCGGCGCAGGGGGTGGCGGCGGCGGCGCGGGCATCGGGAGGAGCAGCGGCCTGGGAGAGGCGGAGCGGAGGCGGAGCAGCGGCGTGGGGGCGGAGAAGATGGTGACGGAGGCGAGGAGGTAGACGGCGGCGAGGAGGATGAGGAAGAAGGGCGGGGTGGCGCGGAGGACCCTGCTGGCCGCGGGGACCGCGGGGTGAATGCGAATCTGGGAGTGGAGATCCCGGAGCCTGTTGGACGGGGGGAGGTGGTGGAGGAGCGGGTGCGGCTGCGGCTGCGGGCGGGTCGGGGTGCGAGGAGCCCGAGGGGAGAGCGAGTGGTGGTGGTGGTGAACTCCCACCAGCTGCTCCATTTCCTCCGGCGGCCTGCCTGCCTGCTTTCCCGGGGTTTTGGTTCAGCTCTGGAGCAGCAGCAGCATCTCCAGTGGCTAGGTCAGAGGTGGGCGCTAGCGTCGGTCGGATCGGATACGAACGGATATCACTCATATTATATTTGTTTTCATATTTCTGTTCGGATTCGGATTTGGACATGGATAGCGTTCGGATACATATACGAATACGGATTGACTCGGTTACGGATACGAATAATGAGTATCGAATACGGTATGAATCGGATTCGGAGAAGGTCGGATACAAATATCTATTCGGATATTGAGTAAAAGCAGTATATATATATATATCATACGTGCGCAAACCATTACACCACTCTATGAGTCCATAATCCATCTAGATTAAGCCGAAAGACTAAAGAGTAAAGCAACAAATAAGATAAAGATAAAGATACATCATACATCAAACATCATATAAGCACTAATCTTCGCGGCATGAGTAGAAATAGCCAAGCACATTGCTTCATGGGTCTCATGGAGTCATGGTCATGGATTCAAGATCTACAATCCTTATATAGGCCATTTTTTCATTTGAGAAAGTTTGAACAAAATGTAGTTCAAATTTCACAAGTGTGTGACATAGTTTTAGAAAGTCTGTATGAGATTTAAGAATTTGTAACTAGTGTTTGATAAAACTTTCTCAAATGGGAAAATGAGCTATGTAACAATTGTATATCTTGCTGAGATGATCAAACTTGGTATTCAGAGTTTTTTCATCTGAGGACATTTAGTGTCTCATTTGAGCAAGTTTGACCAAGTCAAATTTGGTCAAATGAAAAAACAACACTTTGACTCTAGTATTATGAACTCTAAATGACTTCAAATTGAAAAGTTTTGAATACCAAGTTTGTTCAACTCATCAAGATCTACAATTCTTGTTTTGGTCAACTTTCCATTTGAGATAGTTTGGACGGTTGAAATTTGTGATTTTTAAATTTCGATGCTTACAAACTAGTTTTCGGAACCCTAGATTGTCTCAAATTGAAAAGTTTTGAATACCAAGTTTGTTCAGCTCATCAAGATCTACAATCCTTATATAGGCTATTTTTTCATTTGAGAAAGTTTGAACAAAATGTAGTTCAAATTTCACAAGTGTGTGACATAGTTTCAGAAAGTCTATATGAGATTCAAGAATTTGTGACTAGTGTTTGATAAAACTTTCTCAAATGGGAAAATGACCTATGTAAAAATTGTAGATCTTGCTGAGATGATCAAACTTGGTATTCAGAGTTTTTTCATCTGAGGTCATTTAGTGTCTCATTTGAGCAAGTTTGACCAAGTCAAATTTGGTCAAATGAAAAAACAACACTTTGACTCTAGTATTATGAACTCTAAATGACTTCAAATTGAAAAGTTTTGAATACCAAGTTTGTTCAACTCATCAAGATCTACAATTGTTGTTTTGGTCAACTTTCCATTTGAGATAGTTTGGACGGTTGAAATTTGTGATTTTTAAATTTCGATGCTTACAAACTAGTTTTCGGAACCCTAGATTGTCTCAAATTGAAAAGTTTTGAATACCAAGTTTGTTCAGCTCATCAAGATATACAATCCTTATATAGGCTATTTTTTCATTTGAGAAAGTTTGAACAAAATGTAGTTCAAATTTCACAAGTGTGTGACATAGTTTCAGAAAGTCTATATGAGATTCAAGAATTTGTGACTAGTGTTTGACAAAACTTTCTCAAATGGGAAAATGAGCTATGTAACAATTGTATATCTTTCTGAGATGATCAAACTTGGTATTCAGAGTTTTTTCATCTGAGGTCATTTAGTGTCTCATTTGAGCAAGTTTGACCAAGTCAAATTTGGTCAAATGAAAAAACAACACTTTGACTCTAGTATTATGAACTCTAAATGACTTCAAATTGAAAAGTTTTGAATACCAAGTTTGTTCAACTCATCAAGATCTACAATTTTTGTTTTGGTCAACTTTCCATTTGAGATAGTTTGGACGGTTCAAATTTGTGATTTTAAATTTCGGCGTGTACAAACTAGTTTTTGAACCCTAGATTGTCTCAAATTGAAAAGTTTTGAATACCAAATTTGTTCATCTCATCAAGATATACAATCCTTATATAGGACATTTTTTCATTTGAGAAAGTTTGAATAAAATATAGTTCAAATTTCACAAGTGTGTGACATAGTTTCAGAAAGTCTATATGAGATTCAAGAATTTATGACTAGTGTTTGATAAAACTTTCTCAAATGGAAAAATGAGCTATGTAACAATTGTAGATCTTGCTGAGATGATCAAACTTGGTATTCAAAGTTTTTTCATCTGAGGTCATTTAGTGTCTCATTTGAGCAAGTTTGACCAAGTCAAATTTGGTCAAATGAAAAAACAACACTTTGACTCTAGTATTATGAACTCTAAATGACTTCAAATTGAAAAGTTTTGAATACCAAGTTTGTTCAACTCATCAAGATCTACAATTGTTGTTTTGGTCAACTTTCCATTTAAGATAGTTTGGATGGTTCAAATTTATGATTTTTAAATTTTGAATAAATATCCGGATAATATCCGTTTTTAAATATCCGGATATATCCGATACTTATCCGGATTATCCGATATCCGCCGGATATCGATGATATTACATCCGTATTTGATATCCGCCTAAGATATCCGTTTTAGTATCCGTATCCGAAAAAAAAACCGGATATCCGAGTAACTATCCGAATAAGTGTTCATATTTGTTCGGTCGAACGGACGGTCGAATAAATATCCGTACCGTTTTCATCCATAAACAAGAGACAAGAGAAGGGTTTATACCTTGGTCATATTCGATTATTATTTGTATATAACTCTCCTATAGTATATGTTAAGTGTCTGATGTTTTGTGTATGGCGTCCATGATTTTGTATTTTTGTCAGATGTTCTTAAATATATATGGACTTAGCATCGGCTCTGTTCGGCAGGACTTATTACTGCGGCGGCTGATTTTATGGCTGATTTGTTGTGAGAGAAAAACATTGTTTCATAACTGAAAAAGTAGGGCTAATTCTGGCTTATAAACTCAAGCGAACAGAGCCGATTCTGCTTAAGACATTCGTATATGTAGTCAAGAACTTAAGATAAAGTAAAAACTAATACAGAGAGGTCAATCTTCTTCCAATATCATCCCCCAGTATTCACAGTGTTCATCATTTGAATAATTGGGGAGAGGGGGCACCAAAACCCATAGGGGGTGTTCGGCTGATCCAGTTTGGAAAATGTGGACAGCTGATTTCGGCTGATTTAATAGTGTTCTGTGAAAGAGAATAAGCTGAAACAAGTTGAAACTAGACAAGAAGAACAGACTGATAATTGGATTCGATGCACTTTTAGTCTTTTTTTTTAAAAGGACATGTACTGAACACAACACCAAGCTCTACTGCCAAGAGAACTTTAGAATCTGATCATATAGGTACACAACTGTTCAAGCATTCCTATATAAAAAAGCTCTGAATGCAATTTTTTTAACCATTCCATTTCCCTGATATTGATACTACTATATCCAATTCAGCGAAACACATGGACCGGCTTCGGATGATGATCCAAAACGTCAACAAATAATGTACTAGTAAGTGCTAACATTCCTCTCATTCATTTTTTTTTCACAGGCATTCCTAACATCCTGTTATTCCTACAGTAATGTAGATCACGATGCTGGACAGTCCATAACAAATTCAAAAGATCTACTTGCAACCAATGAAACATAGGTACTAAAAATATTAAACAAAATTTATTCTTTCCACTTATCTATGTTTGACACACCTACTTTGCTCACACTTGTTATCTTTTTTTTATTTGCAGAAACTTCACTTATCCAAAAGAGTCAATAAAAAGTAAAAAATCACTTGCCTCGCATATTGTGCTTCCTCTTTTTACGTGTTTCATCAGCTTGAACTTCTTTATATGTACATCGACTTTGATATTTAAGCATATCTTATGTACAAGCATACCAAACCATGCCTTATTTGCAGTGTTATAAAATTGGTTGCAACTTCATAGTTTGATCCTTCAGCATAATCAACTTCAAAATGGGTGTCCTAAAATCCCCCAGCAACGCACAGGATATTCAACTAGTTATTATTATTATGCTCACAAAAAAAGAAAACCTCTCTTGTGTTTCCTCTGTTCATTGATGGATCTACAAGCCTTACAGAGGCAGCCTGCCAGCATTTAGCGATCGAAGTTTCAGAACTGAAGACAACCAATCCAGCTATGACCAAGGGCTTAACAAGACCAGATAACATATGGAGACAGGCCCCGTTCGCTGGTCTGAAACTTGGCTGAAACTGGCTGAAAAACACTGTTACAGCTGAATTATTGTGAGAGAGAAATGCTGTTCCGGCTGAAAAAAGAAGTCGAACAAGCCGAATATGGGGTAAGCCGAACAGGACCTTAGACCTGTGCGCTCTCCAACATCTAAACCAGCCTGTGTATTTGGTTAAACAAAAGTAGCAGGATCTCTAAGAACAAAATGATGGGTGGCCCCAAATGGGCCTAGCTAACCCAGAGTTGATTGGAATCTCCTGCAAACTGATGTGACGACCAAAAACATCTTTGCTTATTCTTCACACCAAAACTCAGTACAAACTGTAATCTACGAATCCAGCCAAAGGACGTTGAAAATATAGATGCTCTATCTATGCTTTCTAGGTACCAGAGCCTTACATGAGATCCAAACAAAGTCTAGAACTTAGAAATTTAAGTCTCTAACCACCGATAATGTAGGTCAGTTGAAAAGGGTGCATTGAGGTTCATAAAGGAACCAACAAATGATTAAAGCTGACAAATGTGTCCCTTTCAAATTATAAAGGTAGCCCATTAACATGTGGTGTAGAAGTTTCTTCGACCTGGTATCTAGCAGCATATATGAGACTATTGGTCTTAAGAATGGATAGCAAGCTCAGTAATTGCCAATATGGATATCTCCAGCTACTTGGCTGTAGGTGGTTGGTTCATCCAAGTTATCTTCGACAAGTACCTGTCCTACCAGCTCCGGCGATGGGCGGCCGACTGTGGCATCGAGCATGAGCTGGACAGGCTTCGTGTTGCTTTGCTTCGCACGCAGTCACTTCTCCATGGTGCTGAGCTGGTGCCGACACTCTCCTACAGCTCTCTTCCTTGGATGCGAGAGCTCCGAGATGTCATGTATCATGCAGAGGATCTCCTAGACAAGCTTGAGTACAACCGTCTCCATCATGAAATGGAAGAATCAAGTGCAAACGAGAGCAGCAGTAGCCCAATCAGCGCCTTCATGCTCTCCCGGTTTCACAACCAAGGTACCCCTTCTAGCCTGGAACCATGTTGGGATAGATCAACAAGGGTAAAGAATAAGATGGTAAATCTATTGGAGCGTATTGAGCAGGTTACAAATGGAGTTAGTGAAGTAGTCAGCCTACCCAGGAACATCAGAAGCAGCAATCACAACATCATGACAAGCTCAATACCCCACGGGAAACTCATCGGTCGGGAATTCGAAGCCCAACAGCTGGTAACCACTCTGATAAGTTCTCAGGTCGATATCCCAGTCTCTGTTGTCTCTATTGTTGGGGTAGGTGGCATAGGTAAGACTGCTCTAGCACAGCATGTGTACAGCAATGCTAGAATAACAGAGAACTTTGATGTGAGAATGTGGATCTGTGTTACTTGTCTCTTGGACGAGTTGAGGATTACAAAAGAAATGCTGGAGTCAGCTTCCAGCAGTCGGTATAGGCATGGTGGCATAACAAATTTCAATAGACTTCAAGCCGCACTGAAGGCAAGGCTTGCTTCAAAACGGTTCCTCCTTGTCTTAGATGATGTTTGGAACAATGACAACAGAACAATAGCAATCGAACCAGAGAACTGGCAGAAGCTGCTAGCCCCTCTAAAGGACGGAGCAAATGGGAGCAAGATACTTCTGACAACTCGGTCAAGTATAGTAGCAGAGATGCTGCAATCATCCTATATAATTAGTTTGGAGACCTTGCAAGTTAATGACTGTTGGTCCCTAGTAAAGACTTCTGTGTTTGATGAGACAGAACATACCATCAACTCAAAATTGGAGAACATTGGAAGGAAAATTGCTGAGACACTCAGTGGTCTTCCTCTTGCCGCAAAGGTGGTAGCTGGACACCTGAAATGTAAACACAGTGTAGATGAGTGGAAACAAGTCTTGCAAAGAAATGCAGTATGGGAGGAAATCATGCCAATTCTATGAACAAGCTATGACAATCTGCCACCACACCTGAAACAATGCTTTGCATATTGCAGCATCTTCCCCAGAAACTGGGAATTTGAAGCGGAGCAGCTGATTCTGCTGTGGTTAGCACAAGGTTTTGTGCACCCAGATGGTTGCAGGAGATTGGAGGACATTGGGAAAGAATACATAAATGATCTACGTAATAAGTCATTCTTCACGATACAGAAGAAAGAATTTGTAAGCTATTATGTGATACCACCTGTAATTTATGAGCTTGCAAAATCAGTTGCAGCTGAAGAATGCTTCAGAATAGGAGGTGATGAATGGACAAGAATCCCATCGTCAGTACGCCATCTATCCGTACATCTAGATAGCCTTTCAGCACTTGATGACACAATCCCATACAAGAATCTACACACTCTCATTTTCCTCCCTAGCAGAACAGTGGCTCCAATCAATGATTCCATCCCTCCGGTGGCTCTCAATAACATAAGAAGCCTCCGTGTGTTGGATTTATCCCTGTGCATGATGGACAGACTTCCTGATAGCATATCAAATTGTGTGCATCTCCGATGCCTAAATATCTCATCTACTACCATCATCACAGTACCAGAATTCTTGTGCAAACTCTACCACCTACAGGTTCTGAATTTATCAGGTTGCAGGCTTGGAAAATTGCCTTCCAGAATGAACAACTTGGTCAATCTACGACATCTCACAGCAGCTAATCAGATTATTTCAGCCATAACAGACATTGGCAGGCTGAAATACCTTCAGAGGTTGCCAACTTTCAAGGTTACCAGAGAGAGAACACAAAGTATAGTTCAGCTTGGGTACCTACTAGAACTCCAAGGATCCCTACAGATCAGAAACCTTGAGAATATTGATGCTCCAAATGAGGCAAAGGAAACCATGCTTTGCAAGAAACGCCAGCTCTCTGTGCTGCAGTTAATGTGGGCATCTGATCGAGATGAGGTAAATGGAAATAGGGAAGAGGATGTGCTAGAAGCTCTCCAACCGCACGAAAATCTAAAGAGACTAGACATCGTGGGTTGGATGGGAGTCAAATCCCCTAATTGGCTCGAGAACGAATGGCTAAGCAATCTTGAGCTTATTTTCCTAAGTGGCTGCAATGCATGGGAGCAGCTTCCACCACTTGGTCAGCTTCCCTCCATCCGAATAATCTGGTTGCAGCGTTTGAAAATGTTGAGGCAGATAGGCCCAGAGGCATATGGCAGTGGCAGCCAAATGGAGACATTCCAGTCACTAGAAGAGCTGGTGCTTGATGACATGCCAGAACTCAATGAGTGGTTATGGAGTGACCAGACAATGAGGAATCTACAGAACGTTGTGATCAAGGACTGCAATAAGCTCAAAGCGCTGCCTCCAGTACCTCCTAACCTTACAGAGATAACAATTGCAGGGAAAGGGTATTGGGTGCCATACCACCATGATGTAAAGTCGGCACGCAGGTCCAGTGTCTCATCTCTTTGCATATTCAATTGCCCCTTGTTACTTGCCAGATTATCTGCACAAATGAACACAGAAATAATTGCAAGGTTTAGGTCACTTAGAAGCATTATCACTGATCAAATGACAATACTAAGGTGTTCTCTTTTAGAAGATAGGCTTGAGATCATTGAGAGCCTAGACATCCAAGATTGCTAAGAGATCACCTCCTTCAGTGCAGACGACGATGATATCCTCCTACAGCTAAAGTCACTCCAGAGCTTATGTATATCTGGTTGCAACACTCTGCGATCACTTCCTTCCACTCTGTCCAGCGTGCAATCCCTGGATAAGTTGGTCTTATGGAACTGCCCTGCGTTGGAATCACTGACAGAGGAACCACTGCCTCTATCAGTTAGGAAGATTGAAGTTGCACTCTGTCACCCACTGCTCAAGGAAAGGCTCGTAAAAGAATATGGAGTTGACTGGCCAAAGATTGCACACATCCCTTGGATTGAAATAGATGGTGAAATTTTGTAGAGATTGGAAATAGGAAGATAGTGTATTTTCAATCTGAAACCTATGATCCAATATGGATAGATGTTGATGTAACGTTAATTTTCGGAAAGGAAATTTGTGTTCCAAATAATTCTATATGGAAACAATATTAATTTAACTCCAAAGTACTACTAGCGAAACTATCACAGTACTTCCGAAAATGGTAGAATCAGCTTCAGCTTGTTATTTTTTAACCAAATAACTCTTGTTTGTAAGATCTTAGCATTTCAGTTAAAAGTTATGTCAAATCTCATTCGAAGTAACCATGTTAAAAACTTAAGTAGGTAAACTACAACTGAAAGGAAATATGCAAGGTAACCCAAAAACTGAGTTAAAATAAATTAATTTGGCTGTTCAACAACAACAACAAAATCCTAGATGCTTCTCAAAACACAGGATAAACTGAAGCATATATGTAATGATATTCAGTACTAAGCATACATTCCAAGATCAGAATAAAAAAACTGCACTAGTATCTGGAAATGTCATTAAGATTCAAGATGCCCAGCGCATGGACAAATATTGATGTTACTTATACCAAGTATCTATAACATACACTCCCTCCGGTCAGGTAAAGACGTCGCTTCTGACAGCAAATGGTCAGTTAACTCAATTGCTAACTCCAGTAGGAACGGCATCTTTTCCCTACCAGAGGCAGTAATAACAAAAGGTCCAGCAACCAACCAACTAACCTAAAAGTTAAAGCAAAGGGATACCATGGAACTCGATGCAACACAACTATTGGGCACATGACATGTCTAAACATCTGGCCTTGCTGAGTAACAAAGGGGCAAAACTGCCAGAACTCAATTGATTCTTCGCAGTTCATATACAACCCAAGCTTAGGAGCATAAGAGCAACAGTCAGAAACAAATTTGTCTATTCCTTTGTACAGTGAGCATCATTTCCATGCCTTGTACAGTGATTGTAACCAACACTAGTGAGAAATGCCCTTATCTCCTGTGCACTGCTGCTGCTAGCCTGCAGCAGGTGTTCATCTTCTTCATATATAAGGTAGGGAGCTTCACCTTTCCTCCTTGAAAGCAATTTTGATGCACCTCTCAGTACGTGGTACTCCCAGCCTTGAACATCAACTTTGATCATAAGAACTCTCTCAGTATCTGGAACAACTTCATCCAGTGGAATTGTGGAAACTTCAACAGCAATTTCTGCATTAGACTTGAATGCTAACTTTGCACCAATTGCAGATATAGCACTGTTGTCAAGTCGACCAATCACCTAGATTACCAGAATATGCAATAAGTAGTGGAAAAAGGCAAAACAGAAGCACAGACACATAGAAAACAATTTGAGATTTCTAGATTATGTAAATATCTCTTGTAAAACTAAGGATCAGAATAATTGCCAAACTGTAATGTCTTACATGCATGCAGATTTTGTTTATGCACTTATGTCTTGCCTAATTTCAGATATGTGATAGTGGCAATCAATCAATCATGGTTGTACATGAATGTTCAAAAAAATATACAAGGCTATAAATTTCTGCGAAAAATAGTAATCCTATAATGAAAAGTTCATTGTGTTGCTTTAACAATATTACAGTTTATCAGTATGAGATTGGACAAGTAATACTGATTTTCCATGTAAGCTTGTTCCTTAAGGAAGACATCACAAAAGAACCAAAGGCTAAATTAAGCGCTCCTTGCCTTTGGTTTGAGCAAAACAGATTCTTGCTTCACCGAGGAAAAGAGAAGTTCTAGATAAATTGACAATGTCAACTTGAATTGACTAATTCAGTTCCGCCTATTCCACATTAATGGGAGTACATTTACACCAGGTACAACGCCGGCGCTTGGGGCGGCGGTGGCGCTAATCAGAGGTTCTGCATTTTATTTTATTTTATTGCTACCGTGTACATGTGGCCAGGCGCTTAGCAGTGACATTGACGCTCAAATAAGCAGCCGGCGCTTGGTGATTTTATAGTTTAAAAAGTGACGGTTTTAAGGATGGATAAGCACATTAGCATGTAGGTTTAGCTTTTTCCATTGTAGGTTAAGGCTCTTACACAATTGTTTGATTATTCTCTTTCTTTAAGAGCCCCATTTAAGCGGTCACAGATTGTACATGCCCTTATGTTTCTGCTTCACGGATATGATATGTTTTGGACATTTCTAATAATAGCAAACCTTATTCCTATTTTGGTATTTTGGATTTCAGGACTTTTAGCCACGGTTAGTGAAGGGCCAGAGAAGCTTTCTAGTTACAAATCGGGTATAGAACCCATGGGGGGGCTTGGTTACAATTCCGAACACTAATTACAATGACATCCATGCGAGCTTGTTCTGCTAATAACATGGTCAAAGTGCCATACATAGAGACCAGTATGCAAAAAATGTTCGTTGATTGATAAGAAGGTAAAAGAACATAGCACTTTCCAATTCTAAATGGCTGCATTTAGCAACTATAACAGTGATACACAAAGTTGCAACGATGAATTAATCGGTTAAAGAAAATCAAACTATGATCAGAACCAGTACGTGGTGCATCGTAATAGTCCCAACTCGATCAGAAGCTGCCGCGTGATACACCACAACGCGGTCCTGCACCCGGTTGAGGTACACCCCGTCGCAGATCCGCTGCAGGTTCTCGAACACGGGCTCGAATGCCAGCACCCGGAACCCCATCACGGCGGCCGCGAATGATGCCATGCCGACATTGGCCCCCACGTCCACCACCAAACCACCGGAAGGTTCCCCCCTCCCCACCTCCCCGCCGAGCAGCTCCTGGATGGTCCCGGAGATGTCGGGCTTGCGGAAGCGCTTGCCCTTGAGGAGGCGAGCGATGTTCTTGTGGGGGTGGTCGGGGAGGGTGCCCATGTCGGCGAGCGAGTAGAGGAAGGGGTAGGGCACGCCTTCCACAAGGTTGGCGACGACCGGGAAAGCCTGCGGCGAGGCGTAGCAGTCAAAGGAGCGGAGGTCGCCTGGAAGGTGGCTGGAAGAGGAGGCAACGGCCGTGGCGGCGCGGGAGGAGGTGGTGGTGGAGAAAGTTAGATCCGGCGCTTTGGAGAGCACGAAGAGGAGCAGCAGGAGGATCGGGAGGAGGAGCAGGACGGTTTTGGGAGTGGAGGAGGCCGCCGCCGGAGCGTGCCGGCGCCAGGGAGCGGCCGGTGGCACCGGCGGTGCGGCCGGCGGGGCCGGCATTGGTGAAGAGGCCTCGGGCTTTTGGGGAGCAGCCGGTGGCAGTGCCGGATGGCGTGGGGGAAGAAGGCCGCCGGGCTCCTGGCTTTGCGCACATGCGCCGCCCCGGCAGTGTGGCAAAAGTCACTCGTCGAGCTGTCCAGCAGCATTGAGACAGCGTGATTTCGGCCTGGCTTAACTGCTGGAGAACCAAACTATTTTCCGTCCAGAAAGAGAGGAAGAGACAGAGCTACGGAGACTCACAGGATGGAGATTATCTGGTAAACCGTGAGCTGTGAAAAAACTAACGGGGGTTATTTGCTGTAAAAAATTATAAGATGTCTTTTAAAAACAACTATAAAACTTATCTTTTCTCTTTATCTTTCTTATTAAAACAGTTACAGTTGTAGAACGTTTCTCTATTTCTACGCATTTGAAAAAGCAGGAAGCTAAAGGAAAAGCAAGGTCCATGCTGCGAAAATTATGCTACATGAAAGTAATTGTTTTTGAAAAAACAACATTTAGTTCTTTCTGGTTCGTGTTCTACTTTTTAGCAGAAGAAGCACTTCCCACGAGCTAAATCAAACATAGCCTAAAAAAACAACCAAGTATTAAAAACACCCGGTTCCAAAAGTTTGAAGAGTGCAAATATCCTAATAGTTAAAGGACGTGAGGAGGATTTTTTTTCTATTTCGGATCACACCTGAACTGGTGAGCAAACCGCAAGGAAGGCAAAGGGTGACAGTTGTTTGCTGAGTCGTACATATGGTAGTGGTTAGGGCTAGAAAGAAAAAACAGTATTTTCTAAAATTATTTTTATTTGTCCTAAGCAGAAATGGTAAACAATAACTAAAATAATAGAAACAAAATTGGTATAAAAGTCTAATATAATAAAAACAAAAACCAAAATATTTTTTAGCATCTTCCATTTGTTTTTAGAGCAAAAAACCAACTACCTAACATCAGCATTGCATTGGCATATAGGCCGGCCTAGCCCACAATAGTCCTCAGGGCTAGAGCCTAGCAAATTGTCCTATGACAATGCCTCACAAGATCATGCCTAGTACCCTTAACCCTAGCCATCTCCACGCTTGTGCCCCTCTATGCTCGGTTTGGCATTTCTTACACCATAATAAGAAAGTTAATGATTTCACAATGTACATAATATTACTATAGCATTTCATTAGTGAATATTCTAGAGTATTGAAATTTTCCACGGAAAGTAAGTAAAGAATATTCAGAGATAAAAGGAAAAATCATCACTAATTTATATATATAATACCAGCCAAATTATAGAGGGGTAAGATAAAAATTACATAAAGGGGGTTGACACAAAGGAGATCCAGAAGATAACTTGAGTGAGGTAGCGAGTTCGGAGGACAACGATACTAGTCCCGTTTGTTTTGAGCTTTTGTCAACTTTTAGACTACTAGTTTTTTGACTTTTTAAGAGTCAAACGGCTCACATAGCCAAAAGCCCAGAACCTCAATAACGAGCTTCTGACTTTTGGCTTCCAGGAACCTTTTGACTTTTGAAAGATTCAAAAGCTGAGGTCCAAACGCTTCCAGAAACCCAAACAAACAGGCCCTAAGATACACTAACTTGATATAGTGGTGGATTCTAAGCAATACACCTTTAAGGCTTTAACTAAGCACATAACTCTTTCACCGATCAAGATAAAAATAAAGTCTCCTTTAATCTAGTGGTGGATAGCAAGGGTCCAAGGCCCTGTTTGGTTACCCCTCCTAAAAGTTTTAGGAGCTAAAATCTAGATAGACTTTGCCTAAAGAACCAAACACCTCCTCCTAAAAGCTTCTAAAAACTTTAGGAGGGGCCAAAAATTTTAGGAGCTTCACCCCCTCCTAAAAGCTCCTAAAGTCCATCCTGGACCCCCACTACCCCTCCTTTATTGCCCTGCCCCCTCTCTCTTTCTCCCACCCTCCCTCCCACCCGCGCCTTCCTCTTGTGGCCCCTACCCTCCACCGACGGATCCCTACCGCCGCCACCCGCCGGGTCTCCCGCGTGGCGCCCGCCGGATCCATCTCCCGCGCCCCGCCCGCCCACGCCTCCGCCCTCACCTTGCCGGATCTACCGGCCCCAAACCGGTCCGCCACTCCTTCGTGCTGGACCTAGAGATGGCAACGGCGCTGCTCGCCTCCATGTACCCTCCGTCTTCCCCGTCGCCATGGGTCCCGAGTCGGCGCCGCCCCTCTAACCTCCTCCCGCCGTTCCCCGTCCTCGACCCTCACGCCGCCGAATCCATCGGCCCCCGCCGCCACCCGTGCTCCGCTGCCCGTGCTCCCCAACAGGCAGGGGGAAGGCCGCGACCAAGACGAGGCGGCGGCGCGTGGTGGAGCTGCTCACGCTCCCGTCTGTCGAGATGGCCACCTCCGCGGAGACGGCGAGGAGGAGGAGAGCGAGGGCCACGACGGGAGCAGAGAAGGAGCAGGGGTAAAGAGGATGGTTGCATGGTCTATTTGCTAGGGCATTTATTGCTTTTAGTCAGTTTTAGGAGATGGAACCAAACACTCTTTTTTGAGGTTTTGGCAGCCTCATAAAAGCTCCTAAAACTTTTAGCTCCTAAAAATTTTAGGAGCTTGGAACCAAACAGGGTCCAAATCAACTAGCCTACAGTGAGAACCTCGTAAGCAACGAAAATGAGTAAAGTAAAGTAAAGTAAAGTAAAGCAAGAAGTAAAACTTTGCTCAAGATAAATAAAGGAGAGTCATCGATTGAAATACTAAAAAGTCTTATCAGAGGAGTAGTAAACACGGGTACACAATGTGGCTTTAATCCTGGTTGAGAAAGGCTTTTAGCCTCGATTTCCCAACCGGAACTAGTAATCCGGGATTAAAAGCCTATCCAATTGACTTGAACCGAGACTAAAGATCCTCCAAGTCTTAAAAAAATGCCTCCTGGCGGTCTCGTCAGGCCACGTAGGCTCGGATGCCACCCGGAGATAAAGTGGTGGCTTGCAGACCATAGGCCCCGTTTAGATTCCAAAAAAATTTGCGCAGTACTTGTCACATCGAATCTTACGGCACATGCATGGAGTACTAAATGTAGAAGAAAAAAAAAACTAATTCACAGTTGGGTGAGAAATCGCGAGACAAAACTTTTGAACCTAATTAGTCCATAATTAGACACTAATTGTCAAAGACAAACGAAAGTGCTATAGTAGCCAAAATCCAAAAAATTTTGGATCTAAACGGGGCCATAGTTCTTCTGAAGGCTGCTGTAGCTTAGGAGAGAGAGTGTGTGGTCCACAAGAAAAAGCAGAGAAGGAAAAACAGATGGGAGAGAGGAAAGGCAAGTGATGGAACCCCATGGTAAAAGAAGTAGCTGCCTCTAGTGGAACTCTATTAGCCTGAGAGTAGAGGCACCTAGGTGTACTATTACTTTTTAGCTGAGGCCAACAGCCAGTGCTGCCTCGGTTGATGGTGCCCTCATGGGATTCGAAAAAAAAACCTCTTGCATTGTCTCGCGCGTATCTTTCCACCCCACCTACATAGCACATGTGATCTTGGATGAGATGCTTTCCTATTGAACTAGCCCATCGAAAGACCTTTAGTCCGGGTTCATAACACCAACTGGGACTAAAAATCAAGGCTCTTTATTTCGGGTTGGTAATACCAACCGGGACTAAAGGTCCTCTGCAGCCCAGGAAACTTAAGACTCGGGACTAATAGCCGAGACTAATTTGCTAAACCGAAAGCCTGTTCTTTACTAGTGAAACGATACACGAGCTTTACCAAGCTCCAAAGATGACTTTAGAACCTTAGGACAAGCTCAACACGACTAATAGGAGAGATTCAAAAGTAAGCGTGTGTGTGCGTGTTTACCTCAAATGTGACAATATGGAGCACATAAAGGTTTTGGAAGTGAGGCAAGCCGGTCTACACAAGATCGTCTGGTCTTTGGATGTGTCAACTTTCTATATATGGTGCATCTCAGATTAGCTCCCTGTTGGCGGATGCATGCTTGGTAAGGCAGTTGAGCAAGTTTGGCATGCAAGTCCAGGCCGCCTGACTTTGTCTAGACGCGCAACTTATGTGTCACATACTCTGCTTTCCGATTCGCCACCACTGTGACTTGGACATTCAAGATGTCACACCCAAGAAAGTTGCTGGTAAGTTGGTCCGAAGTGTGTGCCCTTCAATCCATGGCTAACTCCCTTCGGTCCATTTGATTGAACTAACTTGGATCCAATGCTTTTCATGCAGTCATGCTCTAACTTATGTTTGTTTTGCATGCAGATCCAGGTGTATCCTCTTTTTGTTCCAAATTATCTCTGATTACACCTGCAGCCAGACACTTCACAAACACCTGGACTCATGGAGTGTTCTTTGTTATTGTTAACAATGAACCTTAAAATCAGTTTTGTACTTTTTAATTCCAAGATAGTGGTGGCAGTCAGTCAAAAAATCTTGCAAAAAACAAGCTTTTCTAAGATGAGAGCTCAATTTTCAAAACAAAATGTGATAAAATAGAATAATAGATGGTGTATCTTTAGAATTGTTATTAGGACAAAGTTTATACTTTTAAATTGCAGGATAATAGCCGCAAAATGGTTAATTGTGCAAAAGAAAATGTGGTGAAGTAGAGAGGATGTATCTTTAGGGCTTGTTTGGCTGGACACAAATCCACCCAATCCACGCACCTCAATCCTTCCCAAACCATGTGAATTGAAGTGAATTTGTGTGCAGCCAAACAAAGCCTTAGATTTGTTAGGGTGAATGGTTTTGAAATCATTGGTATACTTTTCATCTTTTTTTTTTACCTAAAACGATGCATTGTTTAAAAGCTATATACATGTCACAGTTTAAAACATGGGCATGAATCCTCAGTTTCCATAAAACTACGTGCTCCCTGTATTGAGTGAATCGTTTATTATTTTTCATAACGGCACCCTCCACAGTATAATAGTATTAATATGTAGGATAATAAATCATAATATGAATAACTCACATAACAATCTCACATGACCTAAGGATATATTTGGGACTGCTCCACAAACTCTACCG